ATGGAATATTTCTTCTAAATAGTGATCAGCTCAGTGTTGACAGGGTTGTCCAAAACGAATCGAATATTCGAATGTATTCGAATATCAAAGTATTCGAATACCTTTTCGGCTGATTTTCGAATAATTTCGAATAGTAGCCACTTTTCGCCGTAAACGTGGTGTTTCGTTTTACGGGAATCTTCAAACGGATTTTTACGCTGTCTCGCGTATTGTAATGACGATGAATTAGAATCGGCACTTTGATTGTATATATTCTGTGCGACCGTACGTCGCATAGTGTTGCGACACATTTGCACGTTTGCGTGGGTGGACATTGCCGACATTCGTCTACAAGGCTTCTAATTTACAAATTCATTTCCATTACGTCGAAAAATTGACATTTACTGTATTTCCCGGCTAATAAGTCGCTTTTCTAGGCCACGGAGATAAAGTGATTTGTGACCCTTTCATTTTGCCGATTCAGCAGAACACGACAGGAAAACACAGCTGTGAAATAACCCGTGGACGTACAGTGTATTACTTATCACATTCCAAAATTATTTCAACTTTCTGGTTAATAGGTTGTCCAAAATGATTGCCGCTTTACAACTTAAATTTACCGCTCAATTGTTAAAAATAGTTAATTCTGTGAGTATGATATTACCAAACTAACATGATCTGGTTCTAAACATTTAAAATTATTAGCGTATATCAGCATAACTGAACAACAGGGACAAAATTTTTCTACCCGTCTTTTTGGAGGCCTTTATGGAAAAAACCCTTTTTGGAGTGCTAAAAATAGACATCGTCCTATTTGCCATGTGGACTTATTAGCCGGGAAATACGGTATTTATAGCAGTCATTGTTACGATATCCAATAAATTGTCACAGGTTGGAAAAACATGTCGATTTATTAGAAAATAATTTCTGGCAAATAATTCTGATGACGATACTTAAAAGTATCGATCATTTACCAGGATGATTTTTTGTTGCGCAAAATAATCCAATCCATGACTGGTACCAGCATTTAAAATGTCATGCCGTATTAATTTAATTCTGTTCAACGTAACTCATGGTTGTATCGACAATCTGTGGACATAAAATGTGTGGTAAACTGACCGATTTTATTAAATATTGATTCCTATTTTTATATTGATAAAATATTGAAAGTATTAATACCAAATACTACGGGTATTTGTGGACATGAAATACGTGGTGAACTGCCCAACTATAATTTCGGATTCGTATTTACAAAATAATTAAACTATTATAATTCTAAAATGCAACGGCGATCTGTGACCTTAAAATTTGTGGTAAACTGCAAACTGATTTACTAACATTTGAGTTATGATAATAGAATTAAATTAACACGGTAAGGCATTTTAACTAGTGGTATGGATTCGAATATTTTGTGCGCAGCACAAAATCATCCTAGTAAAAAGTCCATACTTTTAAATACAAACCAATGGCAACCATTATCCAAATTAGTTCCCAAGAACGGGATAAAATATAAATTCGTTTTCCGACTTGTGACAATTTTTCGTGAGTACGAACATGAGAATCAAAAACTAATTATATTCGGCACAATATCACGGCAATCTGTGGACATAAATTGTGTAGCAAACTCGCGATTAATATTAATTTTTGATTCCTATTTTCGTATTTACAAAATACAACGGCGATCTGTGGACTTAGAATGTGTTGTAAACTACCCGATTATAAATAGTTTTTGATTCCTATTTTAATATTTATAAAATAATAAAAGTAATTTTACTCAAACATACAACGGAGATCTTCGGACTTAAAATGTGTGGTAAAGTTCCCGAATATAATTAATTTTTGATTTGTATTTTTGTACTCACGAAAAAATTGTCACAAGTCGGAAAAATAACTCATACTTTATCCCGCTTTTTGGAAAATAATTTGGATAATGGTGGGTATTTAAAAATATGAGCGTTTTACTAGGATGATTTTGTGTTGCGCAAATATTCAAATCCATCATCGATACCACTGTTGCCGTATTAATTTAATTCTGTTAACATGACTCATGGTATATAAAATATATACTGCAATAATCTGCAAATATGAAATGCCTGGTAATATAGCTAGGTTGTAACTTGTAGATAGCAAGTATTCCATTGCTTATTGTATGGAAATTCCTACATACATTTAGATAAGCTTCAATTAATGGATTTTATTTTCGAAGTATTCGAAATTTCATATTCGAAAAAAATAATTTCGAATGTATTCGAAATAGTGAACTATTCGGTTTTGGCCATCCCTGGTGTTGATATTCACATAAAATATTTATCCAACTCCCCAGTCACATATGGACTAAATTTATATCTAAACCTATGTTTTATGAGATATATCTTCTTGTTGTGTTCTCAAGTCCCTTTTATTTGTCAGAAATACACGAGTATAGACGTTGTAGCAACACCCTTTATTGACCAACTCAAACCATCGACTGGCCGGGAACTCCGGCCAAGGACATAACGTGTTAAATAAATCGCATGAGCAGTCATGCGATTTATGACGTAATAAATACACCACATAACCTCCCTCCTAAAACTAAGAATTGTTAGTAACATGATTTAAAGCTGACAATGATATAAAATGACGTAGTAACCAGAGTTTTACATTAAAACAATTTAAAATTGAAATCTATCTGGTCTCCTTCTCTGCCGAAGTGGATAACGTCGTTCCATGTCAGTTGTCGACTTTGGAGTTGGTGTCGGATTCTGCGATTCGTCTTTTTCCGGTGTCTGATCGATGGGAGAGTTTGGTGGTGATAACTCTATGTTTGGAGACGGCACTGGACTTTTGGATACTGCACTGTCTGTTGCATCTAGATCCTTACTTGCAGGCTCGTCATGTTCAAAATGATCATCTTCAGATTCAAGCAGTTGCTCTTCATATCTATGTTCTTGCTCGATCTTCAAGTCAGATTTAATAATCTGGTCTATATGGCTCTTCCAACTAACATTAGGAGCAACACTGACCATATAAGTCAGTGGACCTATTATTTTTGTTATTTCACCACGTTTCCATTTCGAATTCCCACGGTAATCTCTAACGAGGACTGTTTCACCAACGCTAAATGATCGCAGAGTTTTGTTACTCTTCGTCCGCACTGTATATTGTTTTTCCTCAACACGATAAGGAATGTTAGGTTTGATCAAGTCCAAAATAGTACGAAGACGTCGTTTACAGAATAATACAGACGGTGCCTCACCCGTTGTGCAATGAGGAGTATTTCGATACCCCAGTAAAAAATCATCCAAATGTAAGTCTAATTTGTTTGCATCATTAACTGAGCGCTTAGCGCGCTTGAACGTTTGTACAAATCGTTCGGCAGCGCCGTTAGATGCTGGATGATAAGGTGCAGATTTCTTATGCTTGATGCCATTTGCTTTCAAAAAGTTCGCAAATTCATGTGAAGAAAATTGAGGCCCATTGTCACTCACAAGATATTCCGGTAAACCATATCTAGCAAAAAGACTTCTTATGACACGGATAGTACTATTGGCGTTAGTTGACGACATTTTAATAACTTCCGGCCATTTTGAATATGCATCTACTACTATTAAAAACATCGCCCCCTTGAATGGCCCGGCAAAATCTACATGGACTCGGATCTATGGTGCTTGGGGCCACTCCCAGTGGTGTAGAGGAGCTTTCGAAGGTTCATTTTGCTGCATTTGGCAGTCATTGCAATTTTTAATCATATTTTCTATGTCTTTGTCTAATCCTGGCCACCAGAAATAACTTCGAGCCAAAGATTTCATTTTTACAATTCCAACATGACCATCATGCAATTCTTTTAACAAACGTGATCTCATAGAATTTGGTATGATTACTCTTGAACCCCACATCAAACAACCATCATGTGCCGTTATTTCACGTTTATGAAAATAGTAGGGCTTGATACTGGGTTTTTGTGACTGGGACAACGACCACCCTTTCATTACAGAGTCATATACTTCCATTAAATCAGCGTCACAACAAGTTTGATTTCTAACCTGTTTGCACGTTATCGGCAGAGAGTCACAAATGGCAAAGCTGTTTACTGTAGCATCGGTAATATCGTCTTCAGTTTCGTTCTCTTGTGCTTGAAGCGGCATTCTAGATAACCCATCTGCGTTACAGTGTTTTGCCGTTGGTTTAAATTCAATTTCATAGTCCAAACCTGCTAGAAACAAAGCATATCTTTGTAACCTTGCAGCTGTTGTAACAGGGATACCTTTGTTTGGATGGAAAATAGACGTTAGAGGACGGTGATCGGTAACTAGAGTAAATTTCCTTCCACATACGTAACAATAGACCTTTTTGACTCCCCAAATAATTGCAAGGGCCTCTTTCTCTATTTGTGAATATTTCCTTTGTGTCTCGGTGAGCGATTTTGAAGCAAAAGCTATGGGACGTTCGGAACCATCTTTCATTACATGAGACATTACCGCCCCGAGACCCTACTGTGAAGCATCACAAGCCAGTTTTAAAGTTAATGAAGGATCATAATGAGTTAATACAGTGCTCGAGGTCATAAGCTTTTTGGCTTCGAGAAACGCTTTTTCGCAGTATTTCACCACTTCCATCTGCAATTAGCCCTGAGCAGACAATTTAAAGGATACAGTACAGATGACAAATTCGGAATAAATCTTTGATAGTAATTAACCATGCCAATAAACGATCTCACTTGACTGACATTTTCCGGCCTCTGTGCGTCACGAATCGCTTTAATTTTAGCATCCGTTTTGTGAAGCCCGTTACAATCAACTTTGTATCCACAAAATTCAACGCTGTTTTTAAAAAATTCAGTTTTACTTTTATTTACTTTGAGATTATATTGTTGCAAACGCATAAGAAGTTTTTCAATATTGTCCAAATGTTCAATGTTATTATCACCCGTTGTTAACATGTCATCAAGAATACATTTGCTTCTTGGAACCCCGTTTAATATTTGTTCAATTGTTCTTTGCCAAATAGCCGGGGCGGATGCTATGCCAAATGGAAGCCTATTAAACCTATACAATCCCTTATGAGTATTAATTGTCAACAATTCCTTCGACTCCTCTTCAACCTCCATTTGTAAATATGCTTGTTTCAAATCTATTTTGCTAAACTTTTGTCCTCCTGCAAGAGATGTAAAAAGGTCATCTATTGTTGGTAATGGATATTGATCTACACAAAGAACAGGATTTACAGTCACTTTAAAATCAGCGCAAAGTCGTATTTTACCGTCTTTTTTAAGAACTGGAACTATTGGAGTAGCCCACTCACTAAAAGTGACTTTGGTAATTATATTATCACGTTCAAGTCTTTCCAATTCCGCTTCAATTTTAGGCCGAAGTGCAAAAGGTACAGGCCTGGGAGGGAAGAATTTAGGTATGGCGCCCTTTTTCAAAACCAGTTTAGCTTTTGTCCCTTTTATACAGCCTACGTCATCAGAAAATACATCACTGTACTTTTTTAACAAATGTTTCAATCGAGTTTTGGTTTCGGGGGAACAGTCTGGTTCTGTTGCCTCACGTATATTGAAAATCGTTCTCCAGTCCAATTGAATTTGATGTAACCAATCACGCCCAAACAAACTAGGACCGTTTGTGCTTGCCACGTACAATCTGGATTTACAACTTTGGCCATTAATTTCTATATCGACTTTAAGGACACCCAATGGATATATCTTTTCCCCGGAATAAGTCTTCAAGCAAATTTTTGTATTATTCAAACGAATATGAGACAAATGTGAATCGTAAACATTTTTAGAAATGATAGACACAGCCGATCCGGTATCTAGTTCCATTCTTAGTGTTTTCCCACTGATAATCGGAAAAAGCCAAATTGCACCATTTTTGTTTCTAAGTACGCTATTTATACGTAAATTACCAACCTCTATAGACGACGAATCCGACGAATTCTCCAAGTTTGGACTATCACTGCTGTCGTTCTCCATAACATTTGCACTTCGTGCTTTATCATTATCGCGTCTGTCATTCCCCGTCCTTTCTCTGGACAGCACTGGCTTACGTCGTGTGCAAACCTGTTGAATATGACCTCGGCGGCCGCAGTTAAAACACTGGAAGTTTTTATAACGACAATTTTTGAAATCGTGTGCAGTTTTACCACAGTGCTTACATTTTAAGGTATTAAACCGTTGCTTTCTAGAAAAATATTGCTCCTTCACCATTGGCATAACACTGCCACTTGATATTTCGGCCACATCCTTGTTGGCCAATTCCATTGACGTTGCAATTTGAAATGCCCTTTGAAGATCTAATTTTTCCCCATCTTTTGCCATTAACCTTTTTCTAGTAGCCTCATCGAGTATACCAAAGATTAATCGATCGCGTATGAAATCATCCCTCAATGGACCGAATTTACACCCCTCAGACAATTTTCTTAGCTCTGCTGCATATTCACGAACCCCTTCAGAAAACTTCTGATCTCTTCTGTGAAATGCGAACCTTTCCACAAAAACGGAACGTTTCGGTTTTAAATGATCTTGCAAGGTTTTCTTTATAACATTATATGTTTTGGAACTAGGCAAGTCGGGTGCCAAAAGATTGTGTAGTATTTGGTAGGTTTTAGTAGGCAAGTTTGCAATTAACGTTGGTACCTTTTTCTCATCGGCAATATCATTTGCAATAAAATACTGTTCTAATTGCTCACAATAAAGTGGCCAATCAATCCCATCATATTAAATCATATTCTTAGCCATTTCTTTGATTTACAGGGAATTTGTTGCGCGGTCCCGCATATAAACAATAACAGTGTCTCACCAACGTCTTTGCACATATAAACAATAACAGTGTCTCACCAACGTCTTTGCAATCGCTCTAAATTTACGATTCATCAACCTGTGTGTATCCCATCCTCGTCGCCAGTTTGTTGTGTTCTTAAGTCCCTTTTATTTGTCAGAAATACACGAGTATAGACGTTGTAGCAACACCCTTTATTGACCAACTCAAACCATCGACTGAAGGACATAACGTGTTAAATAAATCGCATGAGCAGTCATGCGATTTATGACGTAATAAATACACCACACTTCTGAGTACATGCAAAAGCTGATATGCAAGTGAATGACTTAGCTTTGTGCTGATATTGACACACTTTTACTTTTTGTATACAAGGTGGACGGGATAGGGGGCAGGATCTGAAAACTGTTGAAGCATACGATCCATCATCCAATTCCTGGACCATGTTTGCACCGATGATAATGGCTCGATATCATCTCAAAAGCTTTGTTTTCAACGGGAACATTTATGCAGTTGGTGGATGGCGGTATGTTTAGTTATATCATTATTTTATCACATTGCATTCAGTTGCGCAGATACTAAATGTTCATCGTAATTATGTGATATTGGTTATAATAAGGTAACAGTGACTCTGATGAATATTTTACTAGTTTTTTTTTATTGATGGATGACTGGCTTTGGCTTGTTTGAAATTCAATTTATAACTCCCATCTGCATAGGCGTGGCCAGGACGTCCCAAGGAGGGATCTTGACAAGAAAGTTTCCTTATAGTGGCTTTTAAAATAATCACCCGATTACAAGACTCTTGTAAGTTCTTATTCGAAGATGATTTATAAAGCGCTCTATATTTGAGTAGGCTTTCGTGCTGAAATTATCCTCCTTAATAGGGGCATTCCTCTCGGTTAAAGTATTACCAGCTGATTTATATATATTAGGAAATCGACGACTAGTGCTATCAAGTATGACCCTACCATGAAGGTTTGTTTGTAAATCATGACTTCCTCTGATGTTTAATCTAATCCAACACAGAACTCCAGTAACTCAGGCCTTGCATGGTAACCCACTTAACCTGAGGGTGATGACAAGCAGATTCTATACCATTGAATTGGACTCACATTGGTCAAGCATTCAATACTCAAACCCATGATTTCATCAAAATACTTTATACGCCCTGTTTTCAGAATTTGTCAAGTCTTGCATCCCACCTCAAAAATAACTGCTGTAGCTAACAACAAGCTACAAATAACAGATAATAAGGCGAATGTACGTTTTATTTGAAAATCATGTTGTAAATATTTAGAGGGAACCTAAATATCCAAAATAGAGAAGTTTAAATATCTAAAATAAGGAGGTCAAATCTGACAAGTAGTCTTATTTTTATTTAGTTTCATACCCCCTCTACGCGATTGTGGGGCATCATTTGAGAACCACATATGGATTTGGCAATGGAAAATCGATAAAAAATTAGTTTTTCTCACGAGTCCTAACAAATTTGTAAGCCTGTAGTTATGTATAGTATTGTAGCTTATTTTTGTTTTTATCTCTCTTTCAGTTCAAGGAAAATCATGGAGAAATACGATTCTGAAAAGAAAACTTGGGTGATGGTTGACATTCCCAAAGATATGAACCTTCATATGAAGGACTCGGTGAAAATAAAAGCCATATGAATATTCGCACCCAACATATTGACTTTCGAACGTTCCACAGCTTCTAATTATTTTATTCCCATTTATCGTGGCACTTGATTTCTATATTTTGTATTTTACAAATCAATCAAATATTCTTTCTGTTCAAATTGTAATTTGAACTCAGTCCCTGTATATCGCAAATACCCTTCCTCTCCCCGTACTGCCAATATTTTTATATCAACTCATATTAATTTGTGGGCGATCAAATTAGGATAGGATTTACATATTTATCTCTGGGGAGAGGAAAGCCAATAAGACTGCTTAACCATATGGCTTACCACGGCCTGTCGTCCAGTTACCATTTTATGTCGGGTATGGGATTAGTTAGTTATTTGTTTTTGGAAGCATGGACTTGATGATAGAGGAAGCTGTAACTGACCAATGGCTACGTGAACCACCCTACGACGGCAAGAAATTCAGCAATCCTCTCACACATACCCATTCCCACATGGGATTCGGATCCGCGAACCCACGCAGAGTAATCAGAGGTGCGATGGCGAGCGTATTCCTAATGCTTAGCATATTGAGCCACACCGCCGCGCCAAATTAGAGCCCTGAATATTGTGAAAAGCCTTGCTTCCCAGCATTTACACTCACTACGGCAAAGTTCCCAACCCTGGGGATTTTGTAGGTCTTGGAAGGGAATTTTGCCTTGCATCTGCTGTGTAAATATACCATTCTTGAGGTCTGTTTATTACTATAATACCACGTTGTAAACAACTTGATTTGTACAAAAGCGAGAGTGCGATTTGCCATAACAATTTCTACTGAGCTAAGGCTCCATTAAATATTGAATTTAATGAAAAAGGTTGGGAACCACTGCACTATGGGAAGGACTACTTGGGGATTAGTTTAAAATATTCTACTGTTAGTCTCCATTTTTAAGTACTGGGATAAATATAAAATCCTATTTTACATTTCTTGATTTTTAAAGTACTTCCTGAAACCCTTTAATTCAGTTTGCAAAAAGGAAGTTTTTATTTCTGATTTTTGTGTCCACTGTTCGTTAAATTTCTTGTGTATATTCTGTTTACTCCTACAATAACAATATTTAATATTAGAGGGAGTTACTAGTTGATTTGGAAGAAGCTTTCTAGTTCGACATGGACTGAAGGGACTCCAATTAGGGCGGTTATTGACGAACTAGATTGAATGCATTAGGATAAAAAAAGTTGTAAAAATTGCTAGATAAAACAATGTTGTTATTGGTGCGACATGATTCAGTCTAAGGTTAAACTAAAATGTGCCAGTAATATAGGATTTCAACATCTGCTACACCATAAGCATAATATTTTTCAAGTAAATTAAATTACTTTTCATGAGTGCAACATGCAAGTATTCCCATATGCCTGTAATGAAGTTATAGATACTACACCTAAATATTATGTTCATCCTTGAAATGGTAACTCAATTGAAATTTGAGGGTTTTTTATTCTCAAATATGCTTTTTTTTTTGTCGAAAGTAGTGAGTTATATGTCAAAGTAAATTCTCCTCTGAACACCATCAATTTAAATTTCATGTATTTTTTATTCCAAAATACGCATCCTTATTGTTTTTAATGCTGTATCAGTGAGTTACATGTGTTCCCTATGCACTTTGCTACTATTGTAATCTGAATACCCATACTTCGAGTTATATATTTTGAATTAATCAAGTGTTTCTGAGAAGAAAACCTAGGTGATGGTTGACATTCCTGAAGATATTGACCTTTATATAAGGAAATCAGTGATTATAAAAGTCTCATGAATATATCACCAGCCATATTGACTATCAAACGTTCCATAGCTGCCAATTTTTCATTTTAATTAGTATGACCATTTTTATATTTTGCTAGTCATTCAAATATATGTTTTTTTAATTGTAATTTCAACTCCCTGAATATCGCAAAACCCCTTCTCTCCCAGAACTTTCATTAATTTTATATCAACTATATTAACTTGTGTGCGATCAAATTAGGACAGGATAGGATTTACATATTTATCCCGGGGATTCTCTCGCTCATAATCATCCCTGCATGGGATTCGAACCTGCGAACCCACGCAGAGTAATCAGAGGTGCGGTGGCGAGCGTATTCCTAACGCTTAGCACGATGAGCCACGCGGCCGCGCCAAATTATGGTCTTGAATATTGTGAAAAGCCTTGCTTCCCAGCATTTACACTCACTAGGGCATTGTTTCCCAATCTTTGAGAAATTTTGTCGGTCTTGAGAAGGAAATTTGCCTGCCCTTGCTGCGGAATTACTAATATTGTCGAGGTCTGTTTTGTTACTATAATACTTCTTTATGCTCACATTATAAACTACTTGCACTGTACATATGTGAGAATGCGACTTGCGCATAACAATTGCTACTGAGCTAAATGACTCAATAAGTTACTCTCTATGCATAGTGAGGGAGGCAAAAGAGTTCCAAAATAAAAAAAGGGAGGAATTTAACGAAAAAGGTTGGGAACCACTGCACTTGGCTAAGGGCTACTTGGTTTGCAATATTTTACACTCAGGCTCTATTTTTAATTATTTGGATTATTATAAAAATCATATTTTACATTCCCTGATTTTTTTTTAATAATTCCTGATATAATGAAACCCATTAATTCAATTTGCGAAAATAAGTTTCTTTATTCTCTGATTTTTGTGTCCACCATTTGTTAGATTTATTCTGTATATTCCGTTTACTTCTACAATAACAATCAATCTTATTCCTGGAATTCCCCCATACTTGTATAGAAATAAAATTTGGAAAAGGATTTCTAGTTCGACATGGACTGAATTAACTTCGAGTTAAATTTAATGAATTAGTTTGTAAAAATTGTCATATACTATTGTTCTTGTTGCGATATCATCCAGTCTAAGGTTATCATCTGAATTACTTTTCATGAATGCAAGCATTCCTATATACCTATAATGAAGTTATAGATACTACACCTAAATTTTATGTTCATCCTTGAAATAGTTGTCTTAATTGAA